ACTTTTTAATGCTAAAAAGGGTTATAAGAGACTGAAAGAGGAATTTTTTAAAAGTTTAAGCTTCAATCTTATTTTTTTGCGTATTGATTAAATATAATTAACGAAAATGGGTTGTAAGGGTCAAAAGGGGAGTCAAGAGAGGCAAGGGTCAAGAGAAAATATCAGTACCTACCGCCACAGGACTCAGCCATAAATGGTTACAGTATAGCGACATCTTATCATTGATACATGATGACACTAATATAAGTAGCATTAAAAAAACAAGAAAAAGGGTTATAAATGAAAGAATAATGTTTGTATGGTATGTATGGAAGTATCTTCATTTTAAAGATTAAAGATTTGAAACTTATCAAATTATGTATGGAAACATTTTTGAACTAGAACGATGAAACTTTTTTTGTGGGTTAGATTATTAATATATATTTTTTATTATTTGCTCAAATATTTTCTATAAATCTATAAAATTGAAGGGCATATACATCATACTTCTCATTCGTTCCGAGCCGATTTGTCTTCAATATAAAAGGTATCGTTTCTACATAATGGAGCAAAAACATAACTTTAAGAGTCGTAATATATCATATTTTTTCGTCCTTTGTGGAAACCAAGTTTGTGAAGTGGTGCGTATGTATTAAAGGTTTTTTATGGGAAACCTTACCATGCATAAATTACTATAGACGGCCTCAGTGGTTTAGCGTTTTAGCACTGCCTGACTTTCGATGGTGAACGATTTGATTTCTCGAACGATACAAATATTTATTCGTGAGTATGATTGTTTGTATTTGTTAAGAAAAGCTCTGCTACCAAAGATTTTGAGAATAAATGTGGAAGCGTGTGAGGGATAAAGTCGTCATACTTTTTCGATGTGCCGAGGTTTTTCGGTTTTGATCTTCAGCTCGTATCAGGGTCCAGGGAGTAATAGCACTATATCACTTTGTTCAGCTCGTATCAGAGTCCAAATAGGTAATAGCACTATATCACTGTTCAGAAACTTGCACTCGTTAGGTTTATAACACGATTATTACTTTTAGGTTAGAAAAGTCTCGCGCGTGTGTCGGCTCGGTAAAGAGTTCTTTGCAACAGTCCACGTCATGGTAGGGAAAAAAGGAGGAAAAAAGAGGGTAGGCGAAATAAAACAAAATTTGGGTACCTACTAGAACTCTTTACCGAGCCGACACACGCGGGAGACATTTCTACCTACATTTTTGAACAGTATTGGTCTGGGTGTTTTCCATATATAATATACATATGTATGTATTTAGAAAAAAACATATTCAAATATTTCAATATGTTTTTTATTAGTGCATCAATCTCTGCTTAGCTTAGACCAGATGGAGGATGCCAAGAGGCACTGTGTGGATTATCCAGGGTTATTATTGTTATTACTATTATGATTGTGACTTCATGACAATAACCTAAGTATATAGATAACTCTATATAAAATTTCATTAAAATCCGTTCAGACATTTTGTTATGAAAAATTAACAATCAGACATATACTTAGATAGACTTTCACATTTATAATAATATTATAGACTTATAATTTTACATAAATAGTGACTATATGAAACAGTGAAGCTACAACCATTATTATGTTCATGAACGTTATCGTAACTAAAGTTCGAACACCCAAACTGCAACAATTGTATACTGTCTATGAAACCACTACACTGCCATGTCAATGACCTGAACTTTTCTTTGTAATGAACATAATCTTTCTTTTCAATTTCACAAAATACCTCCTGTACGTATTCATATACTGTAAAGGCTTGTGAACATAAGTAGTTTCAGTTCTCAACACGATTGTGGTGCACGGCGGTCGGAGTGTGCCGCGGCGCGCACTTGGCTTGGCCTCAAGAACTCTTCATTCCCTTATGTCTCCCCGGTAAATAATTGCGGCCGCCTACTACACTCACCTTGACAATTACGTGCACTTTATTCCGAGCGTTCTGTGTCTTGCCGCTTGCCACACTACTTTTTATAGAGAGCTCTCTTTGTTGCGACTATTTGCTGCAGTAAATCTTGTAGACACTCCAATATCTTCTATACAAATAAAAACCAATTCCCATATATATACATTCCTTATTTCGTTATATTTATAATACAAGATTTGTGATTTATATTTAATTAAAATATGATTCAGAAAACACAAATCACTTTATAATACTCCTAATACTCCTTCTAAAAAAATATTCACATTTAGTTGATCATTTTTTTACATTCTTTTAGCAAGAAGACTAAAGATCTCATTTTCTTTATTAATTAAAATAATTGTTCTAGCTAGTAGTTAATGAATCATGCATAAACATAACTTTACAAATATAGCTATAGATATTTATATAATTATATAACTTTGGCAGTGGATCTGGGAGATCGGAAATAGGGCAAATTGGAGGGCGTTAGGGGAGGCATATGTTCAATACTGGACCAACAGATGCTAAATTATGATGATGAAGATAACTTTTGCAACGTTGTGGAATTATAGATTATTTTGTGTTTTGATACGAACTCGTTATGATGCGAGAGATACATATTTGAGTATATATATCGACCCAATGTAATGAAATAAGACGTATGTATTTGACTATACATTGATATATATGTAAAGTTCTTTCAATAACTGAAGTTATAGTTCTTTGTTGTAAATATCCTATTATTATTTTATATAATCAATTTCGTATTAAGTCAATACAGGCTGAGATTACCAAGACGAACGTGCTATGTTTAAACATTGTTTGATTGCTATGATAATTATTATATAACTAAATTTTAATCTCTTTTTAATTTTCTTATCATAATTCTATAATTGTAAGTCCTGAATATGTAAACCCTTTAAGTTTAATTCATGATTTTGAACATTAAAAACAAGTAGTGTTTTCAATACTAACCATTGAAAAATAAGTAAATAAATTACAAGATTTCAGGTAAGTTGACTCCTCATTAATTTACGGCTGTACTCAACTTTAGTTTCATTGAGAACCCCTCCCTTATAAAACAATATCGTCTAGACGCATTCAGAGCTACAAACTGAAGGCAATATACTTCTTACTGCGTGCTGCTAGGGTTGCCTAGTAAACATGGAGGTTTTAAAAAGTTAAGTAGTAAAACATCAATATTTACTAGGCTAATAATTTAAAATTGTATTTATTATATATGAACAAATACAATTTTAAATTTTTAGCTGATAGTTTCTCTATTTTTTAGTACTGTAGGCATTGTATTGGTCGTGGACCGTGGAATTGCCAATTCCCTTTCTTTTTTTAATATAAAAATATAATGTAAAATACCTAAGTACATATAATTTTATAACAACCCTACATATGGCTGTTACAACATGAAATATCATGTGTCAACTACAATTAGGATACACCCACGCATTGCAGCGATGGTAAAATTAATCATAATTATCGACACAGCTCTCAAAAAGCAATATAAGTTATTAATGTTTATTGCTTTGTTCATATAGTAATTGCTGGCACTTTTAAGAATTATATCAATACATTTAATTTCATTGAATTCATTGAAAATGTAAAGTTCAAGGCTACTTATAAAATAATACACCAGCATTAGATAAGGTAAATTTGTAGACTATAGTATACTCGTGAACGTGAAACAAATTTATATCCCGCTAAAATGGACTTATCTTAATATAAAAAAAATAGAATGAATGAATGCCTATTAGTTGCAACATTAAAATTTAAAAGTCGAACCTCTTTTAACGATTATTCTTTACAATTGTTGTAGGTACTTATGTATACAGTATTTTTTGTCTACTTAAATCATTGAACCGATTGTAATGTAAGTTGGGGTCCATTTTCCGCAATCAGTCTCTCACCTGGGCCGTTGTACATAGCATATACATTGTAAATATAACTAATTATTCTATCTACTGATTGTACATGTCGAAACTTTCTGGACCAAACAAAATCAACAGAAAAATAAAAACAGCACTAACTGAAGCGCCCTTAATAGTACAAAAATTATGAAATTTACTTGCTCTCTGAGAATCATAGCCAAATCAAGATTATTTACTTATATTGTATCAGTGTTCATCATTGTGTAGCTACAAATACTTTTCTACGGACTTCAAAAAAGAGGTTGGTAATAAGATTTTTATGTGTTACCTCTGAATTTGTTTCTTCCTAAACCGATTTTAATAAGTCTTTTAAAAGGTCCTCTATATAAGACATAACCAGTAATTTTTAAGTTACCCTTTAATGCTACTGAAATTGTTATATTTTCTACTAGTAGGTATGTGTTTACCATTTAGGATTAACATTCTAAAAAGAATATTCATTATTATGCGGTAATTTTATAACAATTTATATAACTTTATTATAGAGCTTACCTACTACAGAAACATCAAATTATGTTTTTATTTTTTTTATATCTCTACAATCTTCCTTAATAATAGAAATGGAAAAAATATAGTTCTATTTAAGTTTTCTTGATATGAGTAATTCACCAAAAAATTATTATAATAAAAAAATCATACCCTAATTTCGAGATTTGAAACTCATTCCGAGAGTTGGAAGTATTCACGTTTGGCCGACTTCTATTGTGCCTTTATTATTATTTTACTTTTACTTCATATCTTATAAAAACAATACAAATTATAGACGTAAATATAATATGTATTAGGTACCTCTTTTTTCATCAAACAACTAAAGATTGTACAAGCGAAATTAACTATAGAATATAAAATATTACTCTGCTCCAAACAATGTCATATCGCCATATTTAAAATTAAATATTGTCTCAATGAAACAAAATTCATCCGCCCTTGTGATAATAAAAAAATATAACAATATTTCTTCTGAAATAAAAACAATTTATAAAAAAGCCCGTGTTGTAATTCTTGGATCTCAAAAATGGAACATTTTTAGTGTAAGCATGGAGGTAAATATTTTTATTTAAAATTTAGGGACGAGTAAGTAGCTGGTACCTGGAAGGTGAGCCCGCCCACTGCAGCCTACTGAGCGGCAGTCCGGTATCAGACTCCGAAGGTACTAGTCGCGTCGACGCCCGTCTGGCCTTCGGTTCAACCTCCGAATAGTACGCTCAACTTTACAATGTACAATAACTCGCGACACCATTTAGTGAAACAGACCAAAAGTGACTGATGTAATGATTATCTTGACTAACTTCTAGTAACTAGTAGCCAAACTTTACTGGATTTGTTTCGTGATTATGAGATGTGATTATTGATAATTAGCAATTCGTAAGTAATAATTCATTTAATTAATTTTGTTACACAATATATAAATTATTTAAGTATAAAAGTTTTAAATAGGCTTATATAAACGGATCTTATGATTTTATATTTTATCTATAATAGATTTTCTTTTGCTTATATTAAGAAACCTACACATTTATAAAAAGCAACAATATATGTTTTCTTTTAATTTCGTAATAAATTAAAGGAAAATATTACATTCTGTTGCCACATTTTTAATAAATTTCAAAACATCTTTCACTCCGTCATTGAATTTACTCGTTGAAATAACGTAATTTAAATATTTATTTGTAATACAATCGACCTGTTTTTATTAAATATGTATGTGTAGTATTGTGAAATACTACACACTAAATTAATTAGCTAATTACATATAGATTTGGAAATTGCATAATCTAGTTGTTAATTTAAATTAACATTATTTATATTTAATTTATTAAACATCAAGATTTTACACAGAAAACAGATAACAGAGTTAATATAAAAATATGTAAAATTAGTTATTATTATAACAATTACAAAATTTTTATATTTAGTTATTCTTATTTCTATTAGAAAGAACAGTATATTAAACGGCTACGCGCCCGTGCTACGCCGTAGCTCTACATCTATACTATTCGTGCTACTAATTACATTACTTAAAGCTGTTATTTTCTCAATTATATGGTTAGAGCATGTTCTCTTTAATCCAATATAAATAACTAACTAATATAATATAGGTATTATTAGTGTTATCTATACTCACAAATGTTGTATTAACCTAGCGGCTTCATACAATTAAGTCACTGCTTACAAAATATAAAATATTTGATAATAATGCCTACTAAGTATTGTAACATAAATTTATTAAGAACAATTAAAATTAATTCCGAAAATATTATTTAACATTCCTAGTAACTGTATATCTTACAGTCCTACAAATACTAGTGGCACACCATTTTCAATCAAATATAATTCTGGTCTCCATTCTTCAGAAACGTAGTAATATTCAACAATGTTAGTTTTCCATTAACAACCTATTTCAATTATCTAGGGATCTGTCGTCGCTGTTTCTTTGATCAAAACCGTGGCGAAAAAGGATGTTCAAACAAGACGCGTTTGTCGATAAGGCATAAATGTGGTTAAGTAATCGTTATTTATTCAATTTTATTATATTTACATTTTTATTACTTAACTTCAGGTATTTGCGGCTAGATATGTGCGGAAAAATAAACATAAGCATAAGCACAGTGAAATTACTAGTACGGTGCTAAAAAATTCATTATTCTCACAAATAAATAACAACACCGGACAATTCACACTGTGTCATCAAGTCCCAAGCTAAACAAGGCTTGTGTTATTGGTACTAGATAACTGATAGAAATACTTATATACATTTATTTTTAAATATATAATTTACATAGAAAACTTGACTTGAATCATTCTTATAATTGTTCACATTATGCGAAAAATCGAACCCGCCGTAGGATGTAAAGCAAATAAAACTATTTCATAAAAACTAACATTATATTTGATTTTATTCAACATTACATAAAAATCAACCACTATATAATTTGTCTGCCTACCCCTTCCCGATTTTGTTGTTGTTGTATGTATACCAAAGCACGTTGCTGTCTTATATAAAATTCTTCACTATTTCACCCAATGTGGGTCGCAAATCGCAATTGACTCGCAAAATTCACTTCACATGTTACGAATTCGAGAAACTGAATTTCGTGAATATTAACGTCACAAAGAATGCCTATATATTGAAGTAATGCGTGACAAAAATACTTACGAAACCGCTGGAATGACTTACGGAAGTATTTGTTTTTATATATATAAATAACTAAGATGTAGACCAAGCTTTTTTCGGTTATTTAACCATGTGGAAATGATCTTAAATTTCAGTCACTGTTCACGCAGTTTATTCCTGAATATTGACCACATCCGTAGAATACTATTACTATCGTAGACTACCAACGATTCCTGGAAAGACATTGGATTCTATTGCTTATCTAATTGAGAGTCACTCTGTATTGTTACTACTCAATTACCATTCTTCCCTATTGTTTTAAAATTATTAATTGTTTTAAATAAAAAATGTCTACGACTAACTCAATTTACTTGTTAGCTTCTTTGTTATATAGTGTTTGTTTAAAATTATAGAATATATAGCCATGACATTTTAGTTCTTTGGAATTGCAACATATGAGTGCTATAAACGGATGTCATATAATAACGATGACGATTACCACTTAACATAAGCTATACCGTCGACTTGTATCACATAAAGGATGTCAATATTAACTACCACAGCCTTCTTCATAAGCTGTTGAAAAGTTAGCTCCATAAGTTGAGCTGGCATATCTGACTTACAATTTACAATTATTTCTGTTTAATAATGAATTACTTGAACTATACACATTGGTTTTATTAGTTTAATATTCAAACTCTAAGATAATTTAGATGTAAAAATTTGTAGTAATATTATTCTAAATATTCTCAACCGATTTGGGGTCATCAACTGACCTCTTAGTCAAAGTTGCTCCACACATAAATTGTGTTGAGTATGCATACCGACCTAATATTCTCATCGATCACTTTCTTTGCATAGAAAAAACTAATATGATAGTACATTATTTGCAATAAAACTCTTCAACCCGATAAGAAGCGTTAAAAATATAAGGTATTTTTAGAATAAGAATACAGTAATATATTAATCCCTTTTTGATAAATTCCATTGAATACGGACGTATCATGAACTAAACTATCCAGAAGATCAGATGTTAAACTGAGATTCAACTATGGGTCGCTTAAGATTAACCTAATATATAAAGTTTTTAAGCTGCATGGAAGCAGATTTAACTTAATAACTGTTGTCTACCTCAACAATCAAAACTGACCGCTATTAATGCTAAAGTTAACATGCCAATTTAAGGATTGCGTACAGCACTCTATATTGCATAACCTTGCTGACTGCCGATTCTATCAGAGATATGAGTGCTTAATGTCCTCAAAAAATTATTCTGAATCTATCCGTATTGTGTTCTTAATCAACCCATCCAATTAAACAATTTTGACGAAGGAATGTAAGTATACTGTCCAAAAACAACATTAATATATTGACGTCTAAGTATAAACAAGCTTTTACATTATGATACCTACCCACTAGTTGAAACCCTGATTTTTTCTTAGTTCATGTACGATTTTTGATTCTGAATTCTCAGCAATACTCTGCCCATTATCCTTTGTCCAATCAATTACTTTCATAACTGACGTATATAAATTGAATATTGTAGGTATATATGGTAATGCTATGCTATATATGCTAGTCCGGTTAACGAATAATTCAATTGTAGGAAACAATTATCACAGTTTCCAAAAGATATACAACATGAATTGTACCTTCTAAAAGGTAGAAATATTTTTAGTTTACACATCAATCACGATTTCATAATGTCATTACATGTCATAACTTATTGTAATTTCGTCAATTGGATTTTTAGTTCATAAATTTAATACATTCGGTAATTTTATTACAACACAAAGTTAGATCTAATCGACTTCATATAAGGCCGTCAAAATAATTCATTCGTATCATTTATTAAAGGGATATACTCAATTTATAATAGTACAGTCCGCTCTACTGAACAAATGCTGGGCGATGCCAAATTGTTTTATTTATTTGCAAACTTTGCCCAACTTTAACTAGGCGGCGTTGACTTTGTTAGTAGCTCTGTCTCCAAAGACGAAATTATTAATACGGTTGGTATGTCGGTCTATTTGCCTTAAACAGTCGTGTAATATTAAAATAGGCTTTGTCTACCTGTAACAGACTACATATATGTTGGTAAAATTTTATCAAATACGTGTGATAACAAATTGCTTTTTTTATAACATTTGATTAGTCGTTACTAATTAGATGCAATATAAAACTTAATAAATCTGTATGAAATTTATGATTAGGCAATTTTGATCATATTTAAACTAACTTGTTTATCACTATCGCGTCAGTTACATAATACATCAATAATTTATTAGGCATGACATTGTAATATTGTCGTTATCAATGTAACACCTGAACATCGCCTACAAAATATTTAGGTTGAAAATATTCAATATACACGTCCCCAAAGGAATGCCTTATGATATTAGCGATTATATCATATTTTACGGGATTATTCATATGAAAACCGTCATTCTATTTGTGCTGGAATTTCAGAAATTTGCATCTTAGTTAAACTTACAAATTTAAGCTCCGTGAGTTAAAATTTTTGAGATTTCTTAATCGCTACGAATCACTAGACTTACGTTCGGAAGGTTGCCTCATTCAGTAAGTAATGCGGTGATCCTGCGCGCTACTGTCGGTATTTACAATTTATTCTGGATCGATAGATTCAATCATTAATTATCTATACAACATATGGTAAAATTCTAGGAATCACGCGTGAATAGAATGTTGTTTACTTGCCAGATACGACGGAGAATGCATTTTATTTAATGAAACAATTCGTATCTGCTTTCTTACCATTTATTGCCAAGCTAACTTTGTGTGATCGCTAGATCTACCTAATTTTATTATCTAGTTTAAATAACACAGTTTTTGTCTATATTTAATAAATTTTTTGAAAAAGTGTTATTGAAATTAACTTGCAACAAACATGTCTCATAAGATACGTGATATCTTGGAAAATCTGTCTCTTGTTGTCAGTTGGACACTTCAATTGTAATAGTATTTATACGGTACTCGTACAGTTACCCGTGATTTTGTCTGCATTTTTTTTAGATATAAGATAGCCTATGTCTTCCTGATACAATCTATCTACATGTAAAATTTCATTGGTGACAAATAAACAGGCAGACACTATTTCAAATTTATAATATTAGTATAGATACTTGAATAAGTTAAAAATAAAATCAATCTTGTACTTAGCGCCGAGGATATCTTCTAACATATATTCTATACATAAAACAGTCGAATTCTGAGCCTCTGCTATTTTAAA